ATATATAACTTTATAGTACGATTATCTAGTATATATATATATATATATACTAGATAAAAGTTCGAGGTTTAATGGAGGAGTTCTCGCAGTAATACAATCTATTTTGTGAGGCTCTATAGGTTTAAAGTAGTATTTCAACATCAAATTATAGGAGATTAAATTTTAAAAGAGGAGTTCTAGGTTCTAATTCCGTAAAAATAGGTTCATATAGGCTGTATGAGCATTAAAAGAGACGCTAAATTTCGACTCGGGATCTTTCAAAGCATATTATATTTTTTTTAAATGTTAAAAATGTTACGTTTCCGAAACGCGTCGCGCAGTTCGCACAAATAAATGAACACTTTTTATAAAAGAGAACACTTTAATAAATAACACAGAACTCAATAATTAGTAACCGGGAATACAATACTAAAATCGGAGCTGTCATAAACGTCCGCCCGAGCAAACAGCTATCAAAGATCTGACATATAACAGTTTGTTTATAACTGTCATAGAGACCCTTTAAACTGCTAATCAATATTCGTTGTCTTGACAACGAATATAAGAAAGATTATTAATAAATGCCATTTGGCTTCAACTCTCTAATGACCGATCGATATTATCGATCGGTCCGTTAGCTGTAACACACACAGCATCAGCGGCAAAATAGTACGGGCGCAACACATAAAAAGTTATTTTTTAACAATAATATAATCAAAAACTGTGAGTTAAAAGCAATGAAATATAAAATGGGTAAGAAGCCTTGCAATGTTGTTCGTGCTTATCAATCAATTGTGTTTTATTTAACAGTGTATAATAAATTCGTAAACGTTTCGGTTCATCGTTGAAAAAAATTTTTACATTTATCAAATATTTGATACAGTTTTATTTCTGACTTTAGTAATTATTGGAATTTGTACCGAAGAGAGTTCAATAGTGAACTTGCTTTTCATTATTTTTTAGGTTTCATATTTTATCTCATAATAATAATTATAACTATATGAAAAGAATATAATAAAATTTAATGAAAAGTTTCGAATAATAATACATTCAATTTTATTGCTATACTAGTTCTAAATTGAAAACGAGATTTGTGTGCTTTGCTTAAGTTAGCTGTTAAATTAGTTAGATTTTTCATTAATTTGCATCTTAATTACACTGATACATTTTTAGAAAGAGGAACGCGACGATCAAAGGGCGAATGATTAAATTAGTTTCTCGAATGCGGAATTGGAAATTCCATCAGGCTACTTGGGTTAATTGTACGAGCGTGTTCATCCAATTTCTAAATCAGTGTACGACGACTACGTACTCGTACTATGCTCATCGGCACGTGCACATTATATTTCGTTGTAACTAAAGACTCGCGAATCCGCATTGAGAAATTACATTCACATCTTGTCATCCAATTATATACATAATCAATTGATGATCAAAACTTATTTCTTTTCGCTTTAGAATACTTGTTACATCAATTGTTGGCAAACTGAAAATTAATATTTGCAAACTGAAAGCTAATTTACAAATCGCGATATTACATAGGAAAATTAATATAACATAATTTAAATTTTATTTATAATATTATACATATTGTAATGTACATACGTTACACATAAATGGAATGTATATATTATATACATGCATTATATATAGTATTACACATAGCACAAAGAACATTTGCGAATATTATATTACATCTCGAATATCGTATCTCTGTTGCACCACAGAATATTGGCAAATATTATATTACATTCCGTCATGCGATACTATAATACAATATTACTGTCTGTATGTGTGTGTGTATTTCTTGTGGATTTCAGGTGACTGTGGACCTAGGAAAGGATGCGGAGTTTCAATGCTCCATCACCGGTAAGCCACATCCGGTGATCTCGTGGGCAAAGGACGGTCTTCCTATGCGGGAAGGATCTTCGGGTAGAAGCAAAATTACGGGTAACGATGGCTCGACATTGCGCATATCTTCTATCGTGAGGGATGACAAAGGAATGTATCAATGCTTCGCCAAGAACGACTATGAGATGGTGCAGGCGACGGCCGAATTACGTTTGGGAGGTAAGTTTGCTCGATTTGCACTTTCTACGCACTTACCTTCTTGTTCACCTGCAATTTGTTCTTGCTAAAAGATAGTAAAAGCTATTAATTTTGTCTGGATGCTTTATATCGGTCATAAAACACTTTATAAAGTCTGTGAACCACGCTTAATAAATCGTGATTGATAAATTAAACTAATTAGCGTGCACAAAAGAGGGGATAAAATATGGTAAATTTTTGAAATATCTTACAACTGGATTAATTTATCAAAAGAATTATGACCGCCAGATAATGTGCTTAAATAAATTAAATTTTGTTATAATAATTAAGTAATGATTAAATTTATTGGCTAAATTTTTTCTATTTTTGTTTTTCGTATAAAAGTAGAAAAATGCTTGAATTATTCCAAACACAGCGAGTGTTTTTAAAATAGTACGCACGAGAGACGGGATGGATTAGCGCGAGCGGAAGCGAGCCGTCGTGCAACTTTGGCAAAGTATTGTGAAAGTTTCCTCTAGGAAATAATAAGGCTAAATTAAGGCTATTAACAGTACACCATTAACTGACACCGGAAGACTCTCTATTGCCAAAGTTTTGTCTCTTCTTTTCTTTTTTTTGCGACCTTTTGCAGTTTTTATCGGTCGCTCTAAAGTATAATTCCATTAAATACATGGACGCATTGCTCCGGAAAGCCGCCTTATTACGCTACTAAACAGAGGCGTATTTTTAATTAAGAACGATGTTCATTCAAGAGCCGCGCTATTATGATTCAATTACGAACAGATGCAATAAAAAGCGTAGAGAGATAATAATTAGTCAATTTATACCAATATATAGCTGAAGAATAAATGTCTCGAAAATACACTCACCCGAAAAAAAAGCGGTACACTGAAAATGTGGGAAAAATTCATCAAATTTCAACTGACGATAACTTCGTAAATAATAAAGATAGAAAGTTCTATAAAATATGGAAATGAAGCTACAAATCTCTACTTTAAGAATCAATTTATTTCAATGTTGCAAAATAAATTTATTGAAAATGGCGGATGACAAAGCGCGAGCATGCAAAATTGAAAAATAATGGTTCGAGTTTGCGACGGTGCACGGTATAAACAAAAAATTGTAGCTTATTGGGATCAAAAGCGTACGAAAGTACAGAGTCTCCTCTTTAAAATGCTTTTTTATGCATCTCGATACGATGATTTTTCGCTGAGAGATTCGCATTTGAAGAAAAAGGCAGATTCTTACTTCTAGGCCTCTCACTTACAGTACAGTCTGCAAATCGTTCTCCAACGCGACGGTATACTCGTTCTCGTCCGTCTGAAGAATACAGACAAAAACGAGATTCGTCGCTAAAAAGAACGGTACTCCATTCTGCATATGTCCAGCCTGCATGCTCGACAGCAAATTGAGTCGAGTTACGCGATGGCGACGCATAAGCGAAGGTACATTTGCTGGCCTGCGACGGAAAAAGACCGTGTTCCGCTAATCTGTTTCGAATAGTGTCAACGGATACATTACATTCGCGGACATCTCTTAAATTGTTTCGAATTTGAACAGCCGTTCGATGTCTGTCTCTTAATGAATTTAAAACAATAAATCGGTCATCGTTTTCATTCGTACAACGAGGACGTCCCGAACCAGGTCTTCTTTGGACAGAATTAGTCTCCAAGTACCTAGCATAAGCACGTTGCACGGTTGACACTGATAAATCAAGTGCCTCAGCAACGTACCTTCGACTTCTCCCATCTTCAATTAACGCTACAACTTGAGCAGCTTTTTCAGGACTTATCGTCGCCATAATTGACCAATAATTTCAATGCGAAAAGATTAATTATTGTTTACTTTGACGAAGTCGTACGAATAAGTAACGCGTCTCGAAAGAAAAAGATCAAGAGAAATCAAGCACTCTTCTCGCAATGTGCGGTCGAGCATAAACAAAAGTCAGGGCGGAGAAATCACAAAGATCTGCAGACATCT